AACCCCGTGCTGTCCCTGCCCTGGGAGTGTTTGATGGGGGACAGTGTGGAGGGAGCTTTACTCTGTATCTAACCCCGTGCTGTCCCTGTCCCTGTGAGTGTTTGATGGGGGACAGTGTAGAGGGAGCTTTGCTCTGTATGTAACCCCGTGCTGTCCCTGTCCTGTGAGTGTTTGGTGGGGGACAGTGTAGAGGGAGCTTTGCTCTGTATGTAACCCCGTGCTGTCCCTGTCCTGGGAGTGTTTGGTGGGGGACAGTGTAGAGGGAGCTTTGCTCTGTATGTAACCCCGTGCTGTCCCTATCCTGGGAGTGTTTGATGGGGGGACAGTGTAGAGGGAGCTTTGCTCTGTATCTAACCCCGTGCTGTCCCTGACCTGGGAGTGTTTGATGGGGGGACAGTGCAGAGGGAGCTTTGCTCTGTATCTAACCCCGTGCTGTCCCTGCCCTGGGAGTGTTTGATGGGGGACAGTGTAGAGGGAGCTTTGCTCTGTATCTAACCCCGTGCTGTCCCTGACCTGGGAGTGTTTGATGGGGGACAGTGCAGAGGGAGCTTTGCTCTGTATGTAACCCCGTGCTGTCCCTGTCCCTGGGAGTGTTGGGCAGCTTCAGAGACTATGCTTTATTTGTTCACTCGCATTGACTTACCTGCGTAAAGCAGTTTCAAACCCAGATCCTCAATCAATTTCACATCGCGATTAACTTCCTCAATCACTGGGTCAATGATAACAGCTTCCTTACTCTGGGAGTCAGCCAAAAGATAGGTGTAAGTAGAGCTGATCTTCTCAAAGAGCTGAAATGGTCAGATAGTTTGAAGGAAGAATGATGAGTTGAGATACACTGTCGAAAGAATTCAGGTATTTGTCAGCGTGTGCACAGGTAAGTGTACCTGTATGTGTAAGGTACACAAAGTGGGGAACACAGGATGATAAACTCCTGTCTGGCACTGGAGATCTGGACATCATTTGCTGCTAGTTACTGTACAGTTAATACAACGCATGATGGAACAGGCAGCTCGTAGCTCTGGCTCAGGACGCTCCCAGTGTGAGTCACATTAAAGTGTCATGAGTCCATTATCCAGGGTCAAAACACAGCCACTGTCAGTGCTGAGGGAGCGCCGCGCTGTCGGAGGGTCAGCGCTGAGGGAGTGCCACGCTGTCGGAGGGTCAGCGCTGAGGGAGCGCCACGCTGTCGGAGGGTCAGTGCTGAGGGAGCGCCGCGCTGTCGGAGGGTCAGCGCTGAGGGAGCGCCGCGCTGTCGGAGGGTCAGCGCTGAGGGAGTGCCACGCTGTCAGAGGGTCAGCGCTGAGGGAGCGCCACGCTGTCGGAGGGTCAGCGCTGAGGGAGCGCCGCACTGTCGGAGGGTCAGTGCTGAGGGAGCGCTGCGCTGTCGGAGGGTCAGTGCTGAGGGAGCGCTGCACGGTCAGAGGTGGTGAATATTTCCAGTGAGGCATTAAACCAAGTTAAAAGGTCCCATTGCCACTATTTAACAGAAGATTGAGGGATTGTCCAAATCTTTATCAGTTTTGACCTTTAAATGTCCTCATATAAACTGCGTTATCTCACAGCGTCTGTTCCTCTCTGTTTGCCCCTCTTTTCCTGTCTCTGTCTCTCTCTCTCTGTCTCTGCATCTGTTTCCCTCTCTCTGTCTGTCTATTTTTTACTTTCTGTTTCTTTTCTGTCTCAGTCTCTCTCTCTCTTTCTGTTTCTCTGTCTGTGTCCATCTCCCGCTCGCTTTCTCTCTCTTTTTCTGTCTGCATCTTTCTGTCCGTCTTCTCTCTGTCTCTGTTGATTCGTGACGCGCCGTATTCCTGGCCACAGCTGCCTGGATCTGAATCCTACCTGTCGGAAGATTAAACCTTCAGCCTTTGCAGCCTGTTGGGAATACCGCTTGCTGAGTGCAGAGGCAGACAGAGAGGCCTTGCCTTGGAGCGCATTGTGACAAAATCTAGTCCCAGGCTTGACTTTGACAAGGCCTCGCCTGGAAACAGACTGGAGCAGATACCAAACAGCGGTAGACATGTTGTGCTCAGTTACTTCCCTGTTGTCTTTGCTGCGAATGTGTGAAAATAGCAGAAACAAGCCAACTTTACAAAACAATAGGTTAAACATTAATCATTTTCTCACTGGCGAGTTTATTGCAGCTATCTCGAAGTACAAGATCCTAGACACACCTCTGCAAATCCAAAATGCTATCTACTTGTTTAATGACTGCAGAGCCATCCAAAACCTATCACAATTTGGACACCATCCAGGACAAAGCAGCCCCCACTCGATTGGCACCACATCCACAAACATCCCACTCCCTCCCCCCACCGACGCTCAGTAGCAGCAGTGTGTACCATCTACAAGATGCGCTGCAGAGATTCACCAAAGATCCTCAGGCAGAGCCTTCCAAACCCATGACCACTTCCATCCAGAAGGACAAGGGGCAGCAGATACACCACTATGTTTAGTTCCTTGCTGATGTGTCACTCAAGGTTATAAAGGTGCAGCGAGTAATTAAGGAGGTATGTTTGCCTTTATGACATGAACACATGAGTACGGCTATCTTACTGCAATTATTCAGAGGTTTGTTCAGATCACATTTTGTGCAGTTAGGAAAGAGAGGGAGTTCCTTTTCTTCACTCACAGCAAGTGGGCTGCCTGGGCCCAGCATTTACTGCCCTGTCCCTAGTTCCCCCACATTGAGAAGGTGGGGGTGAGCTGCCTTCTTGAACCGCTGCAGTCCCCATGTGCTGTGGGTTGACCCACAATGTCCTTTAGGGGAGGGAATTCCAGGATTTTGACCCAGCGACACTGAAGGAACGGGGATATATTTCCTGGTCAGGATGGGGAGTGGAGGGGAACTTGCAGGGGGCTGGTGTTCCCATGTATCTGCTGCCCCTTGTCCTTCTAGATGGAAGTGGCCATGGGTTTGGAAACTAAAACTAAACTAATCTAGTCCCATTAGTCCATGCTGACCATAATCCCAAACTACACTAGTCCCACTTGCCTGTTCCCAGCCTATATCCCTCCAAACATTTCCTCTTCATGTACTTCTCCAAATAACTCACAATGTTGCTCCTCATCTGTTGATTCTCTGATTCAGGTGAATCAACTATAGACATAAGGAGAAATATTCGATGCTGTGATCCACAGAGATTCCAGTTAATTTTAAATGTCACTTCAGCCATCTCTGTTCTACTAGGTGTGTTACTTTTTGGCTGCTTGATCTGTACATTCTGGGCTTTGAGGTACAATCAAAGCTGGCTTTTGTAGATTCACTGTGCCTTCTGATTGAGTATTCCTGATGCAACCACAACAACAAAATTCTGCAATTATGTAGCCCCTGTAAGGCTGTAAAAATCTCCTCAAGTTCTTTACAGAGGCAGTTATCAAACTAAGCCCCGTCAGAAAATAATGTGGTGGGGACTCAAAGTTGATCAAAACATTGGATTTTTAAAGAATGAGAGGCAGAAGGGTTTCGGGAGAGAGTCACACAGAATCAGACCTTCGCCCCAACCAGTTCGTGCCGACCATAATCCCAAATTAAACTAGTCCCACTCACCTGTTCCTGGCCCATATCCCTCCAAACGTTTCTTATTCGTGTAGTCATCCAAGTGTCTTTTAAACGTTGTAACTGTACCTGCATCCACCACTTCCTCTGGAAGCTCATTCCACAAGCAAACTGCCCTCTGTGTAAAAAATTTGCCCCTTATGTCTTTTCTAAATCTCTCTCCTCTCACCTTAAAAAATGAGCCCTCTAGTTTTGAAATAACCCGCCCTAGGGAAAAGACACCTACCATTAACCCAATCTGTACCCCTCATGATTTTATAAACCTCTATAAGGTCACCTCTCAGCCTCCTTCGTTCCAGTGAACAAAGTCCTGTGAAAAATCTCAAACCCTCCAAACCCGGCGACATCCTGGTAAATCTCTTCTGAACCCTGTCCAGCTTAATAATATCCTTCCTATAACTGGGTGACCAGGACTGCACACAGTCTCCAGAAGAGGCCAAGACCCCTCAACTATCACAGATAAAAACAGAAGTTGCTGGAAAAGCTCAGCAGGTCTGGCAGCATCTGTGAAGAAAAAAAAATCAGAGTTAACATTTCGGGTCTGGTGACCCTTCCCTTCCTCAGAACTGTTAGTAACAAGGAAAATGTTGGTTTATATGCAGAGGATGGGGTGGGGGAGATGAATAAGGAGTAAAAGATAGGTGGGGATAGAGCCCAAAGAGAGAGAAGAACAGTTGAACAGACAAAGGAGTGGGTAACGATTCGGTTAGGAGAATGAATGAGGACAATTAGTGGCTAATGATGGGTTGTGTGTAATAGCAGACCATATGATGACAAGAGATAACACAGTGTGGAGCTGGATGAACACAGCAGGCCAGGCAGCATCAGAGGAGCAGGAAAGCTGACGTTTCAGGTCTGGACCCTTCTTCAGAAAATCAAGCCAGGATTCAGAAAATCTTCTGAAGAAGCATCCAGACCTGAAACGTTAGCTTTCCTGCTCCTCTGATGCTGCTTGGCCTGCTGTGTTCATCCAGCTCTACACCTTGGTATCTCAGATTCTCCAGCAACGGCAGTTCCTACTGTCTCCATACAGTGACAAGGCCTGGTGTGTGGGGCTTGGGGTAGGGACAAAGGAGAAGGTGCCTGAAGCCCTAAAATGGTCAGACTCGATATTGAGTCCAGAAGGCTGTAGAGTTCCCAAACGGAAAATGAGGTCCTCTTCTTCCAGCTCCTCAGCCATCACCTGCCTCTCAGCCAATTCCGAATCCAATCTGGCAATTTTCCTTGGATCCAATGAACACCAACCTTCGCTATCATTCTCCCCCATGGGACCTTATCAAAAGACTTGCTAAAGTCCAAGTCAATTACGTTGGATGCGTAGCCCTCATCTGGAGACGACTTTGAGAAGTTGGTCAAACATGACCTCCCATTAACCAATGACAGTGCTTGATTAACCCCTGCCTCTCCAAGTGCAGATTGATTCTGTCCCTCAGAGATGCCTCTAACAGGTTCCCCACCCACCCCAGGTTAGACCAACCGGCCTGTAATTTCCTGGTCCGTCCCTTGCCCCTCACCTTCATGAATATTGGTACCCGCTTAGCTGTCCTCAGACCTGTCTGAGGTGGGGGAGAGTTGAAATTATTTTGCCAGCATTTCTGTTAGTTTCCAAGGGAGGTCTCATCAGGCAGCGGGAATAGAAATGAACAGAAGAGGAATGGCGTTCTGTTCTGGTCGCCAATTGGAAAGGACCGAGGCTGGGTGGGGTGGGTGGGGAGGGAAGGGGTGCAGAGCAGATTCACCGGATTTCAGGAATGACGGAGATTTAGCTGCAAGATGAGGGTGTTTTCTCTGGGGCAAAGAAGATTGTCAGTTGGGAAAGGGAGAGTGGAAGAGGGGGCCGGGGATATCTGATCAAGATCTTGGCAAGTTTGGGTTAGAAAGTTGAGGGAAAGCTGCTCCTATTGGTAGGGGTCTGGGGGGAGGAATAGATTTAAGGTTCTGGAGGAGGGACACAGAAGGGAAAAGGGGAGGAAGAGTGTTTACAGGCAGTGAGTGGGAATACGCCAGAAATCGCTGGGTCTGAGGCAGATGGGAGCAGCGAACCATGAATGGTTTCAATTGGACAGCTACTTGGGATAAATAAATTTCCAGGCTTCTGGGGAGAGATTGATGCGGGGAGGCAATGGCCTAGTGGGATTATCACCAGACTGTTAATCCAGAGACCCAGATAACGTCCTGGGGACCTGGGTTCGAATCCTGCCAGGACAGATGGTGGATTTCAGGAAAAATCTGGAATTAAGAGTCTAACGACGACCATGAACCCATTGCCGATTGTCGGGAAAAACCCATCTGGGTCACTAATGTCCTTTAGGGAAGGAAACTGCCATCCTTACCTGGTCTGGCCTACATGTGACTCCAGACCCACAGAGATTGTGGTTGAGTCTTAACTGGGCAATTAGGATGAGCGGGTTGGATAGAGAGGGTAGAGAGAAGCTGTTCCCACTTAGAAAAGAAACATGAACAGGAGAGGGGGGTGGGGGCATAGATTTGAAGGGACATACAATGAAAGCAAAAGGATGATAGGAAGGAAAAGAAAAGCCTTTTCATATAGTGAGTAGTCAGGGTGTGGAATTCACTGGAAATGTGGTGGATGTAGGTTTGACTGAACCAGACAAGAGGGACATGGGATGGTATTTGGATTTAGGGTTAGACTTGTCCTCAAGTACAAAGGTACAGGAGTTCAGAAAAAGTTCTCAATGTTCTTACACACTGAGGTACAAGTACCTAGGTACAAGAACTTAAGAACAAGGTAAAAAGAAATAAGGAACAAAGTTAATAGTTAAACATTACAGTTCTTAGAACACAGAACAGTACAGGCCCTTCGGCCCACGATGTTGTGCTGAGCTTTTACCCTAAACCTAAGGTCTATCTAACCTCCACCCCTACCTTATACTTACACTATCTTATTATTCTTCATATTAAGTCAAAAAAAATAAGAAACGAAGCTAAAAGTTCAAACATTGCAGTCTTTCTCAAGTGCTTAGCCATGCTGGGACTGCACTCAGAAAATAGTCCGGTACAGCGCAGGCCCACGATGTTGCGCCCAACATGAAACCAATCCCTTCTGCCTGCCCTTGGCCCATATCCCTCCCATTCCACGCGCTTCCTTCGATCTCCTCCGCTTCCACATGCTCTCCCAGCGCCGGCTCAATCTCTGCTGCTTGCATCGTCGCTGCAGATGTCGGGGGGGTGGGGGAAAGCCTCCCTTGTCGCTTTGGGCTCGCTCCTGGGATCTCAGGCTGGCAAAGCCACGCCATCAGGCCCCAGGCCTCAGCCTCCCCTTCGGGAACTCAGCCAGAGTCCCAGGTCAACCGTCTCGCGCTGGACATCTAGTCCACCGCCAAATTTACCGAGCCTGGTACCACCACCGCTGCCCCTCTCCAGCTGGTAAACTTGTCGTAAAAGATATTCTTTAAATACTAAAGCTAAGAGTCAAACAAGAAAGGAGGAGGAAAGAAAAGGAAGAGGAGAAGTGGGCAGAGTGGATGAGCCAGCTCGGCCATCATCTTGTATCAGCTGAGCCGTGAACAAATTGGCAGAGGGTCAACAAGGGCACAGCTCAGCGATCAGTGTGGGAGGAACAGGCTCGAATTCTAGGGACAT